TCCCTTAGTAGAAGTAAGAGTTGGAGTAGGAGTAGGAGGAGAGGGAGGAGGAGTTGGAGTAGGAGTAGGAGTCAAGCTAGCCAGCTCGAGCGAGTCAAGCATGGCATGCCCAGTCCCACCCGCCCTCCCACAACATAAGAAGCAAAGCTGGCACAACTGGGGGCCGAAGTCACACCGGCCAGCCGGTTTGGTACAGCTGATGCGGCCGCGATGGCGGTTGCCGACGGGAACTGGCGAGCGCGTGTTGAATGCCGCGCACGCATTGCCAGACGAGTCGAGAATGGCCCGGTACACCGCAGGAAGCCAGAGGTGGCCGGAGGAAGCCCGACGGTCTGACAGGACACCCCAAAGCATTTTTGTGAAAAAACATTGGGTTTTTGATGTTTTTATGTTGAAATGCTTGCAAACACACGGTGTTCGGTAGGATTCTGACATGAACGCGCGAGTGTGCTCTTTGTGGTATTTTTTGCACAGGATTCGCGGCCTGGGTGCATGACAGAGCATCGCGAGTGCACCGCGCGATGACGTGAAATCGCTGGATTCGACCGAATTCTTAAGATTCCTATGGTTTTCCTATGATTTCAGCAAGAGAGCCCGGGCGGGAAATTTGTACAATTTTTGTGAAAAAAACATTGGGTTTTTGATGTTTTTATGTTGAAATGCTTTCAAACACACGGTGTTCGGTAGGATTATGACATGAACGCACGCGTGTGCTCTTTGTGGTATTTTTTGCAATGGATTATCGCCGTGGATGTCGAGAGGAAAAAATAAGAAAAATGTTGATTTTGTATTGTTTTTTACAGGTTAGGATGGGACCACCTGGATGCGGCCCCTAATGGCCGGCCTGAGGGGGGAGTAGGAGTATATTCGAATAAGGAATAAGGATAGGAGGAGTAGGAGTAGGAGTAGAAATACGAGTAGGAATACGAATAGGAGTACGAGTACGAGTAGACGAGTAGGCCAAGTTTCTGAAGAATTGCAAAGATGTTTCATGCGATTTGGCAAATGCTTATAAAACTGTGAGGATGTCTCGGGCGATGTGGCCAATTCTATTAAGAAATGTGAGGTTGTCTGAAACGATCTGGCTAATTTTATTAAGAAATGTGAGGATGTCCCAGGCGATTTGGCTAATTTATTGTATTAACACATGTAAGGATGTCTCAGGCGAGTTGGCCAATTCTACAAAGAAATGCGAGGGTGGCTCAGGCGAGTTGGCCAATTCGATTCAGTTGAAATATGAAGATGTTTCATGCCATTTGGCTAATTCGATCAAGAAATGTGAAGCTGCCTCAAGCCATTTGGCAAGTTCTATTAAGAACTATGAGAATGTCGTATGTAAGTTTGCCAATTCTACTAAGAAGTGTAAGGATGTCTCAGGCGATTTGGCCAAGTCTGTTAAGAAATGTGAGGATGTCTCAGGCGATTTGGAAAATGCTGATAAGAATTGCGAGGGTGTCTCAGGCGATGTGGCCAATTCTAATAAGAAAGGTAAGGATGTCTCCGGCGATTTGGCCAAGTCTGTTAAGAAATGTGACGATGTCTCTGATAAGAATTGCGAGGATGTCTCAGGCAATTTGGCAAGTTCGATTTGGAAATGTAAGGACGTCTCAAGTGATTTAGCCAATCCTACCTGAAAACTGAACGCTTGAGCTCTGAAAGGGCGGCAGGCACAGGCAGGAACTCCCCTGAGCACTGAAAGGTTGCCCTACTATTGCCAGGACTGTAAAACAGGCGACCTGGGGGGGAAGGGGGGAGAGGGGGACGGAGGAGGAGAAGGATTAAGCAATGCGAGGATGTCTCAAGCGATGTGGCAAATTCTGCTTAGAAATGTGATGATGTCTCAAGCGTTTTAATTTACTCTACTAAGAAATGTAAGGATGTTTCAAGCGATGTTGCCAATCCGAATAAGAAATGCAAGAATGCCTCAAGCGATTTGGCCACTTCTATTTGGAAATTATGAGGATGTCTCAAGCAATTTGGCCAATTCTTTTAAGAAATGTGAGGATGTCTGAAGCGATTTAGCAAATTCTATTAAGACATGTGAGGACGTCTCAGGCGATTTGGCCAATTCTGTTCAGAAATGTGGTGTCTCAAGCAATTTGGCAAGTTCTATTTGGAAACGCGACGACGTCTCAAGCGATTTGGCCAATCCTATTGAGAAATGCGTTGATGTCTCAGGCGATTTGGGCAATTGTATTAAAATATGCAAGGATTTCTCAAGCGATTTGGCAAATTGTCGTAAGAAATGTGAAGATGTCTCAAGCTATTTGGCCAATTCTCGTACGAAATATGAGGATGTCTCAGGCGATTTGGCAAATATGTTGAGACATATGAGGATGTCTCAAGCGATTTGGCCAAGTCTATAAAGACATGTGAGGATGTCTCAGGCGATTTGGCCAATTCTATTAAGAAATGCGAGGGTGTCTCAAGCAATTTAGCAAGTTCTATTTGGAAATGCGACGACGTCTCAAGCGATTTGGCCAATCCTATTGAGAAATGTGTTGATGTCTCAGGCGATTTGGGCAATTGTATTAAGATATGTAAGGATTTCTCAAGCGATTTGGCAAATTGTCGTAAGAAAGGTGAGGATGTCTCAAGCTATTTGGCCAATTCTCGTACGAAATATGAGGATGTCTCAGGCGATTTGGCAAACTCTGTTAAGACATATGAGGATGTCTCAAGCGATTTGGCCAAGTCTATTAAGACATTTGAGGATGTCTCAGGCGATTTGGCCAATTCTATTAAGAAATGCGAGGATGTCTCAGGCGATGTGCTTCCTCCTCCTCCTCCTAGCCGCAGGTGCCGGAGTCAACGCTTCCAGGAGCAGGCGGGATATCGTTTCGCCGGAGCGGGGGGGGGGGTTCTTAATTGCTTCATGAGGTTAGCCGACCTGGAATTCCAACAAAAAGACACCATGGTATTTCGCGCAATCGGAGAAGGGGAACTGCGTACAGAGGAAAAGGAGGTGGCGGATGAGCAGGATCATGAGCAGAAGGACAGGAAGATGACGATGATGATGATGATGATGACGACGACGACGACGACGACGACGACGACGGAGGAGGACGAGGACGAACCACAGCAGCAGCAGGAACCGGAGTGGAAGGATTGGGAGGAACAGGAGGACAAGGGGACAAGGGGAAGACGGACGAGGGGAAATGAGGGGGGCGACAACTATGAAACAGGACTCGGATCCAGAAAAGCGGCCCCAGGATCGAGGGCGCCGTTCAGCAAAGCGCCGATACAAAAAGGATGCCCACGTTACAGTGACAGCTCCATTGTGAAACACCAGCAGCACTCGGATTGAAAACAATCTGCAGTTGCGAGCACCGCGTTGTAGGTGCTGCGTTCGGTGGAGCTCCCCTTTGGGCCACAAAACGTGCGGGGTGTGTCCTGCACTGGGTGGGAGAGGCACATGCGGCCGCGCCCACTAGGGTATTCGGTGGAGCTCCATATGGGGCCACGAAGCGCTGTGCTGGCTGGTGCGGACGCATACAGCCGCGGCCAGTGGGGCATTCGGTAGAGCTCCGCGGTGGGGCCACGAAACGCTGCACAGGTGGCGCCGACGCATGCGGCCGCGCCCACTGGGGTCTTGGGTGGAGCTCCCTTTGGAGCCACGAAGCGCTGTGCTGGCTGGCGCGGACGCTTGCGGCCGCGGCCACTGGGGCCTTCTGTACAGCTCGATATGGGACCCTATGGGGCCATGCAACGCTGTACTGGCCCACCGAAGTGGTTGACATGCGGAGGGCAGAGGCCCGGATGGGAGGAGGAAGGAGGGCCAGTGGGAGGAGGAGGAAGAGGAGGAGGACAAGGACCCGCGCATCTGACTGGGTTGTCTGTCTTGCTTGCTCTACTATTGCCCAAGCGCCTGCTGCGCTTCCCTGATCATTGCATCGAAGGTGATGGGGGCCGCAAAACAAGGCCTGCTCTGCATGCCTCCATTCGGGTGGCGGTAGGTCTTAAAACAGTTCAAAGCATAGGACTTATCATTGCTGGGGGGCGCCCAAGGCATGGAGGAGGAGGAGGAGGAGAAGGAGGAGGGGGTGGGACGCGGGACGCTGTCTCTTCAAAACGACCCTAAACCACATGATGTTTAGGAAAGACATACGAACCAAACCATACGATCAAAACTATGGTTGAGATCTGGTGTAAAAGAACAACACGCGGATTCAGAGTGTGGTATTCAGAATGTGAAGAAGAAAGAGACGGAGGAGGAGGGAGTAGGAAGAAGGAGGAGGAGGAGGGAGGCAGGCAACAGATGTCTCAATCGACCCCTCCTCAGAGATGCGCTGCTGGTGACTGTGGCTGGTTCTCCCTGTAAGCTGCCTTCGCCTCTGGCCGAAACCCATTCGAGCCTGGCTACAGGACTCCTGACACGCGCCGTCCTGGCCTTCGACTTCGAGCCACAGGGGTAGGAAGCGAAGCGAAGCAAAACGAAGCGTCGCTGGTGCCTGGCACGAGCCTTGTGACACAGATGTGCCCGTGCACTGTTGGGCACGGCGTATATCGTGTGCTGGCAGAAGTCGTGGATGAAGCAGTCAGCGGGCCACAGAGGCAATAGGGAGCTGGAGGGGAGGGCGAGGCTGGGAAAAAGAAACTTGTGTACCCTTTCAGTCAGAGTGTCACCGTGTCAGCCTTCATCATGGCCTCGTCAGGAGAACGCATAGCTCTAGAGTTCATGGGGAAAACGGGTGCTGGCTTGCAATCGCCATGGGTACGGCCAGCCAGCGAAACACTCCGACTCCCAAATCCGCAGAAGATCGTGGAGAATGGGAGACTGGCAGAGCCGAGACCTGCAGCGAATAAGGCAGAGAGAAGGAGGAGGAGGAGGAGGAGGAAGAGAAAAGAACAAGGCGAGGAGAAAGACGATGATGAGAAGGGAACAACCGGCAACCGCGCATGCGCCTCGCGCCCCTCCGTGCCCCCGGACGCTGGGCAAAATCCGCGCGTCGCGCGGCTATGGCGGAGGGGGAACGGCCGCGGAGGGCGATGCCGCTCGCCTTCGTCGGTGCCGTCCTCGGTGATGAACTGCGTCACCTGTGACAGCCGCGGGCATACGATCGGGAGTTGGGCGCGTGCTGGCGGGACGGGGCTGGGGGCGGGAAGCCCCGAGGGGGGAAGCGAAGAGAGGCCAGTAGGGGTAGGAGGAGAAAGAGAAGGGCGAGAAGGAGGAGGATAAAGAGACGGAGGAGGAGGAGGAGGAGGAGAAAGAGGAAAAAGAGGAGGAGGAGAAGGAGGAAGAGACACAGGAAGAAGACAAAAGAGAGAGAGAAGGAGAAGGAGACGGAGAGGGAGGAGTGGAAAGAGTAGGAGGATAAGGAGGATAAAGACACGGAGAAGGAGATGACAGGAGGAGGTGGAGGAGGAGAAAGAGGTGGAAATAAAAGAGGAAGAGGAGAAGGCTGCCCCCCAGGACCCCCACCCCACGAGCGCGGTGAGATAGATGCCAATCTGATACAGCCCAGGCGCAGCAAACCCGCTGGCCACCAAAACGCGAGGATTCCATGGGCCCATGGGCTCCTATCGACAGGCCACTCGCTCAATTTCCTGCTCTATCGAGCTTCCGGAGACGTCCCGAGGCTGCGGCGTTCAGGGAGAGGCACAGCACAGTTGCTCTCAGACATTCGACGCACCTCCTCAAAAAAAACACGTCGTCGCCATTCGAATCGTCAAGGAAAGTGATCGTAATAGCTGTCATTCATAAATGTGCCGCCAAGTTGCCAACTGCTGCGCGATTGCGCGGTTCAGCCGGCATCGGCGGGCTAGACTCGTATAAGACATGATAGTGATCCTGCTTGGGGCGATACGAAACATCATACACCAGAGTCGTATCATCTCAGCGGGTAGCAACTGAGCAATATGCATGAAGATGGCACGACACATCCAAACTATCTGTATCCTCATCCAGGTGCGATTGAAAAGAAAGTGTGGAGACCCCGCCAACGGCTTCAACATGAAGATTCGGATCTCCAGACTCGAAGTCAAGCGTTGTCTGTGGTCCTGCACACGGCCACTTACCGGACATCGCGTTGGAGGTTGGTCCCTATGTCTGCGTTGCTCCAAAACTCTTGCGAGGGACTCGCAAGCGTCGACAACATGGAAGATCTGTGTGCACCTCCTCTCGTGCATCTGCTTGCATTCGGCGGCCTTCCAGACCTGCCGCACCAGGATCTCCGACGCGAGGGCCCCAGGTTTCGTGTCGGGAGCCAAGAAGATCGACATGGAGTCGGCATTCTCGGGGGCATCCGGGGGGGGGGGCGCCCAGGAGGAGGGGGGGCGCATCATGGCCGGAAGCGCGTGCGCCGCCCAGCGGGGGAGCAGGGGACGGGTTGAGAGAAGAAAAGGGGGCCATGAGATCCGAGGAGATTTCATAGCCCCGGCCATGAGATCGCCCCCCCCCCCCCCAGCCTTTACCCCCCGCTTGGCCGCTCCCGACGTTCGGTACCGTGGCGAAGCTTAAATTTCCTCACGTTCTGCTCACCTGCGACAGGTCGGGGCACGCCCGATCGCCCCCACGAAGCGCGCCGTGTAACGACGCACCTGGCGTCCATGTCGAGGCCCTCGATCCTGCGCTGCTCGGCCTCGACTTGGGACTGAACGTGCCGACCGCGTTCGCCTTCGGCATGGGTGTTACCAACTCTGCGGTGACCACGACCACGCATGGCGCATGCATCAGGCACGCTCTCCCACACTGAACCGTCTGCGCAGCACCTGCGGTAACCACGACCACGGCATGGCATAAGGCATGCGCTCCCAGCTGAGCCGACTGCGCAGCGCCAAGCACCGTCCCAAGCTCGGCCATGGCCTGCTTCAGGTGGGTCGCATCCTGCCCGGGCTGCTGCAGGCTCGACATGCGGCCGGTTTGCACAGCCCGCGCCTGCCAAAAATAAGATCCAGTCAGCCGCGTTTCGATGCTGCCGGCGAGCTCTGACGACGCGGCCAGCTCCCCCTCGACGATACGCAAGACATCGCGTGCGTTCCAATGCAGGTGCTGTGGAATCGGTCCGACGGCAGCAGCTTGGGCGTGCGCGGAGGTGGAGCCTGGTGGAGCACCTGTCGCGGCTCGAGCGGCAACGGCGCGACCTGCCAAAGGATCGCAATGCCGTGGTGGGTCAGCCTGCCGCGCGTCTGCACTGCCGCTGCGATCGCCCTCGCGCCCTTGACCAAGGCAACCACGACGACGTCGACTGCGAAATGTGTGGCGCGCCAAGAGGTTAGCCCGGCCTTCGTCTGCGCGTGACACGCGGGAATCAACACCGCCCTAGGCTGTCCAGTCTTTCGTGCAATTCCTTTGAACCAACAAGGCACCACAGGACGAAAAAGATTGACCGGAGGGCGGAGGTGGAGGAGGGGAACAAAAGGACTGGGCGCGGCAGGCGCACCACTGTGAACTTCTTGGTGGTATCGATCGTGAAGGTCTCCCCAGGTCCATAGAACCACGGGTTGCCCATGTGGTAAGGATTGTACTGGCCTCAGCAGAAGGATCCCCGGCATTCGCGGTGGTGGGGGGGAAAGAAAAAGAAAGAAGGGGACCAAGTCGTTGTCGTCGCCGTCGCCGTCGCCGTCGCCTTCGTCTGCGTCGGCGTCGGCGTCGCCTTCGGCGCGTCGCGGTCATCGGCGTCGGCGCGTCGTCGTCGTCGTCGTCGGCATCGTCGTCGTCGTCGTCGACGTCGTGGTCGGCACCGGCGTCGTCGTCGGCGCCATCGGCGTCGGAGTCGTCGTCGTCGGCGTCGTCGTCGTCGTCGTCGACGTCGGGGTCGACGAGGTTGTCGTTGTTGTCGTCGACGTCGTCGTCGTCGTTGTCGCCGACGCCGTCGTCGTCGTCGTCGTCGGCGGCGTGGGCGGGCGGCGGCAACACCGTCGGAGCCAGCGTCGGCGTCGTGCGCGGTGCGTGGTGCGTGATGCGTCGTGCGTCGTCGTCGACGTCGTCGGCGTCGTCGGTCGTCGTCGTCGTCATCGTCGTCATCGTCGTCGTCGGCGTCGGCGTCGCCGTTGGTGTCGTCGACGTCGTCGTCGGCGTCGTCGGACTCGTCGTCGTGGTCGTGGTCGTCGTCGTCGTCGGCGACGTCGTCGTCGTCGGCTTCGTTGTCGTTGTCGTCGCCAACGGCGGTCGTCGTCGTCGTCGGCGGCGGCGGCGGCGGCGCTGGCGTCGGCTTCGTCGTGCGTCGTCGGCGTCAGCGTCGGCTCCAGCGTCGGCATCGTCGTCGTGCGTCGTGCGTCGTGTATTCGGTTTCGTGCGTCGTGCGTCGTGCGTCGTGGTCGTCGTCGTCGGTTTCGTCGTCTTCGTCGGCTTGGGGGTCGTCGGCGTCGTTGTCGTCGTCGTCGTCATACGAGTCGTCGTCGGCGTCATCGTCGTTGTCGTCGTCATCGTTGTCGTTGTCGTGGTTGCCGTCGCCGTCGTTGTCGTCGTCGACGTGGGCCTCGGCGTCGGCGCAAGCGTTGGCATCGTCGGCGTCGTCGTGCGTCGTGCGTCGTGCGTCGTGCGCCGACGTCGGCGTCGTCGTGCGTCGTGCGTGGTGCGTGATGCGTCGTGCGTCGTAATTCAGCGTCGTCGTTGTCGGCGTCGGCGTCGTCGTCGTCGTCGTCGTCGTCGTCGTCGTCGTCGTCGTCGTCGTCGTCGTCGTCGTCGTCGACGGCGGCGGCGTCGTGTTCGTCGTCGTCGTCCGTTGGTCGCTCGGTCGGTCGGTCGGGTCGGTCGGTCGTCGTCGTCCGTTCGTCGTCGTCGTCATCGTCGTCATCGGCGTCGTCGTCATCGGCGTCATCGTCGTCGGCGTCGGCGTCGGCGTCGTCGTCGGCATCGTCAACGTCTTCGTCGTCGTCGTCGGCGTCGTCGTCGTCGGCGCCGTTTTCGTCGTCGCCGGGGGGGGGGGCAGGAGGGGGCGAGGGAGGGGGGCGAGGCACGGGGGGGGGGGGGAAGGGGGGGGTCCGAATCACCCCCACTAATTTTCAGGGGGGGGGGGGGTCGTGACCCCTACCATTTTTTCCCAGGGGGACCTTATTACTTCCTCCCCCCCCTGCTAATTGTCCTGGGAAGGGGGGTTCTGGACCCCCCCTCCCTCTGTTTTGAAGGGGGGTTGAACCCCCGCGCCAGCAGCGGCAGACAGCGCTTTCGAACCTATCAAAGAACCCCTTTGTTCCAAACCATCCTGTGATGCTGGGTCCTCGTTTTGAAGAGACAGCGCCACGCGTTCCTTCCTCCTCCCGCTGCCCCCTCCCTCCTCCTCGCATCATCGTCATCATCAGCATCATCATCATCATCAGCATCCGGATCATCATCATCGACATATTAGAATCATAATACGCTAAGACGCATAATCACAATCACCAACATCATCATCATCACCATCATCACCATCATCACCACCATCATCATCATCGTCCTCATCATCATCGCCGTCATCATCATCATCATCATCATCATCATCATCATCATCACCATCATCACCATCATCATCATCCTCATCATCATGACCGATCTCGGCACCGCCCCATTTTGGCACACACCATTCCGGCACCTCTCACGAGGACCGTGGCCCCATAGGAGCTCCACCGAAGGCGCCAATAGCAAACTTCGCATGGCGGCCTCGGGCCATTTCGGCACACCCCTCACGAGGATCGTGCCCCATACGAGCTCCGCCGAAGGCACCAGTGGCAAAGTTCGCATGGCGGCCCCGGGCCTTTTCGGCATACCCATCGCAAGGATCGTGGCCCCGTAGGGAGCTCCACCGAAGGCGCCAGTGGCCAAGTTCGCACGGCGGCCTCGGGCCATTTCGGCACACCCCTCACGAGGATCGTGGCCCCGTAGGGAGCTCCACCGAAGGTCCCAGTGGCAAGGTTCGCACGGCGGCCTCGGGCCATTTCGGCACACCCCTCACGAGGACATAGGAGCTCCACCGAGGGCGCCAGCGGCAGGGTTCGCGCGGCGGCCTCGGACCATTTTGGCACACCCCGCGCAAAGATCCTGGCCCCGTAAGGGGGCTCCACCGAAGGGGCCAGTGGCAGGGTTCGCATGGCGGCCTCGGGCCATTTCGGCACACCCCTCGCGAGGATCGTGGCCCCAGAGGGAGCTCCGCCGAAGGCGCCAGAGGCAAAGTTCGCACGGCGGCCCCCGGCCATTTCGGCACACCCCTCACGAGGATCGCGGCCCCGCGGGGACCTCCACCGCAGGCGCCAGCGGCAGGGTTCGCGCGGCGGCCTCGGGCCATTTCGGCGCACCCCTCAACAGGATCGTGGCCCCGTAGGGAGCTCCACCGAAGGTCCCAGCGGCAGGGTTCACGCGGCTTCGGGCTATTTCGGCACGCCCCTCGCGAGGATCGCGGCCCCGTAGGGAGCTCCATCGAAGGCGCCGGCGGCAGGGTTCGCTTGTCGGCCTCGGGCCGTTTCGGCACACCCCTCACGAAAATCATGGCCCCATAGAAGCTCCACCGAAGGCGCCAGTAGCAAAGTTCGCACGGCGGCCCCAGGCCATTGCGGCACACCTCTCACGAGGATCGTGGCCCCATAGTTGTGCTGCTTCAACAACCGCGCCTGGGCGTCGTACTCCGCCTTGTCGACGTGCAACGTCACCTCCTCCGTCATGGCTCTCAAAGCCCTCTCCTGCTTCTGCTCCTCGGACAGAGGGACGCCGTCCTTGTCGTCGTCAGCGCCCGCGAAGACGGCCACGAACGCTTTCCTGAGCAGGTCGGGTTCCGGCGGAAACCCGTGGCCACATAGGGAGCGCGGGCGAAGATGGTATTCACAATTGCGGTATTCACAACTGCATATGGTTGGGTCCTTCGCCAGGCTAATGGCCAAGAGTTCCCCAGGACAAATTTCAAGATGGCCCCGTGAGGGTCCAAACAAAACGTGTAGTATGACACAGCAGTTGTGTCACACTGTGCGACGCTGAAGCTCCCTCTGGGAGCACTCTTGGGCCCTCATGGAATCCTCCCGGAACTCTTTTGGAGCCCTCCTGGGGCCATCCCAAGCCGTCTTAGAGGAAGCCGAAAAGGGCCTCTGGGGACCACAAGCGGCCACAAGAGGACTCCAAGAGGTCCCCGAGAGGGTCCAGACACTCAGTGTGACACAACGGTTGTGTCACACTGTATGGCTTCGGAGCTCCATATTCAAGCCCTTTTGGGCCCTCTTGGAATCCTCCTCAGGCCCTCTTGGAGCCGTATTTGGGCCCTCTTAGAACTCTCTTCGGGCCCTTCTGGGACGCCAGTGAGCCCCCAAAAAGCCCCCGAAGGACCTACCAAGGAACCTATTTGTTGCAGGTTACGCCGAAACCCTCTTGAGCACCTCTTGAGGCCCAGCGATATCCCTCACAGGCCTCCAAGCCTCCTCCTCTTCCTCGTCCACGTCCTCATCCTCCTCCTCCCTCCCTCCCTTCCTCCCTCCCTCCCTTCCTCCCTCCATCCCTCCCTCCTCCTCATCCTCTTCCTCCTCCTTTCCTACTCCTCCTCTCCTCCTCCTCCTTCGTTCTTCCTCCTCATCCTCCTCATTATACTCCGTATTATCCTCCGTATTATCCTCCTCCTCCTAGCCCTCCTACCCCTCCTCCTCCTCCTCCTCCTACCCCTCCTACCCCTCCTACCCCTCCTTCCTCGTTCTCCTCGTCCTCCTCCTCCTCCTCCTCCTCCTCTGCTCCTCCTCTCCTCCTCCTCCTCCTCCTCCTCCTCCTCCTCCTCCTCCTCCTCCTCCTCCTCCTCCTCCTCCTCCTCCTCCTCCTCCTCCTCCTCCTCCTCCTCCTCCTCCTCCTCCTCTCGGGCGCTTCCGTGTATGACCCCAGAGCAAAAAATTGGCAAGAGACTCACGGATTGAGGGCGGGTGGTGCTCAAAATGTGGTTTTCGCCTTAGCGCCGCGAACATTCGTTCTGAAAATCTGAAAAGAACGTCACGGACTAAGGGCGGGTCGTTTTCAACATGTGGCTCTCGCCTTGGCGCCGCGCACATTCGCTTCAAATATTTGCAAGAGATTCACGGATTGAGGGCGGGTGGTGTTCAAAATGTGGTTATCGCCTTAGCGCCGCGCACGTTAGTTTCAAACAAATGCAAGAACTTCACGGATTGAGGACAGGTCGTTTTCGGAATGTGGTTATCGCCTTCGCGCCGGGCACATTCGTTTTAAGGATCTGCAATAGCTTCACATATTGAAGGCGGCTCCTTTTCGAAATGTGGCTCTGGCCTTAGCGGCGCGCACACTCATCTGAACTATGTGCAAGGGGTTCATGGATTCCCATGGTCAACGTGACAGAAATACTTTGGGACCGATTCAAAAGTATCTAAGCGAAGCAGGATGGTTGATTCGCGGTTCTGAAGTTCCAGGAGTGGTGTTATGGTACGATTCGTCAGACTGCTTCGTGGCGGTCGAGTCCCGAGAATGGTTGTGGCACACTTCGGGGTTTCAATATGTTCTCCCAACAAGACAGCTCCCTCAGTAGAACTAAACCCTTGTAGGGGCCGATCAAGAGGGAGCATGGAGGGAGGGCGTATTCAAACGTCGCAGATCAGTCATTGGGCTTACACTGGTCATCCTCCTCCTCTTCTCCTCCTCCTCCTCCTTCTCCTCCTCCTTCGCCTCCCTTCTCCTCCTCCTCCTCTGCCTCCACGTTCCCTTTGTCCTCCGCACTCTCGTCCCCCTCCTCGTCCTCGTCCTCCTACTCGACCTAGTCATCTTCCTCTTCTCCTCATCTTCCTCTTCCTCCACGTCCTCCTCCCCCCTCCCCCTCCTCCTCCTCTTTCTCCTCCTCCTCTTTCTCCTCCTCCTCTTTCTCCTCCTCCTCCTCCTCCTCCTCCTCCTCCTCCCTCGTTATCGCCCCCGTGTCAGAACCCGCCGCAGCATAATCTAGGTAGGTAGGGGAGGAGGAAAGAGGAGGAGGAGGCGGATGAGGAGGAGAATGGTGAGGACGAGGGAAGGAAGGAGAAGGAGATGAGGAAAGGAAAAAGAAGGACGGGGAAAAGGAGGAAGATTAGGAGGAGCTCGAATGGAAGGACGAGGCAGCCGAGGCAAAGGAAGAGAGGAGAGCCCCGCACTCCTGCCCAGTTGCGAGGCTGGGCAGGCTTCGCGCAGAATTTCAGGTTTCGGTGCGAATTCCATGTTTCGGTCCGAATTCCAGGTTTCGCGGTTCCAAAACATGCTGGGTTTCGCGCAGAATTCTGAGCTTCGGTTGCGGGCTCTGGGATTTTGGTTTCGCGCGGTTCCAGGCATCGCCCGAAAAAGTTATGGGTTTGGCAGCGGTTCCTGGGTTCGCCTCCCCAACCCCGTTTCTCTTTGGCAACAGACAAGAGCCGCAGGGGCCCGACGGTGGACCCTGCCGCCTACCGCCTACCGCCCACAAAACCTCGAAGCGTTCAGGGACGCCACCGCTCAGGCAGGAGGGAGCAGAGACATGGAGACCAAAAAGGACGCACGCGCCAAGCCAACGTACACGAATATGCTTCCAAGTCTGAGAGGCCTCCAGCATATTACCAACGCTGGCGTAATGTGTTTCCACGAAACCAATGTGAGCTCATGTGTACGCGAACGCATTTGCTTCGCTCCTGAGGAGAGATGTCCCCCGCCCTTTCTTCTCCTCCGGAGAAGGGCGTTATTTGTTCGAATAGCAGGACCAGGAACTACGACCTGATCTAGTGCGCTAGCCTTGTGTTTGCTCGGGGATTCGTGCTGGAGGCCTGAAGTGGGCCCAATCTTGATCTGGTCGATGCTGGTTTGGAGGGCCATGATAGAAGAACCACTCTCCCGGCCACGGTCTCCCGCAACGTCGAGCTATGGCAGTAGCAGTGATAGAGCAGCCCCGAAGAAACTGGCTCAGTGTCGAGGCCCATTTGGAGCCACTATTCAAGTGCATCGCGTATTCGCTGGCAGTTTGATCATCCCTTCATGAAAGAGTATGACGACAGTGTGCATGTATTCACCTCTAACTCACCTTCGCTTCTCAAGTCTTGGTTACAGCTCGCTTGGAACCATCAATTTCACGTGCAAGCTAGACGGAAACTAGGTCTCCCAGGCAAGGTGGACACCGACATCGCGCAGAAGGCTCTCCTTTCCAAATGCCTGAACCAATCAAAAAAGGTCACTCTCTTGGCATTCCTGACACAGACGATTTGGACCCACACGTGTTGGAAGAAAGCCGTATACCCAACGCGACATGAAATTGACGAACTTCAACATCGACTAGTGAAATGCCAAAGTATAGCCCCCCTCAGGGAGGAGTTTTTCAGCGAAGAAGAGAAGAGGATCCTCGCGGACCCCGCAATTTTCCCCTCCAGGCTGGTTTCCTCGAAGGCCTGGATTGGTTCCCGGGCGCTCCCTCGGGTCTCGGTCTTGACAGCAAGAACATCTGAACGCGTGATGGGGGCAATATTTCGGCAGCTTCCAAAGGCAAACTTTATACGGACGGATCCTGCTGGAAGCAGGGCACCCAGTACTATCATACAGTAGGACATGCAGCAGCCGTTATCGATAGTGAAGGCGAGAGGCTCGATGCAGTGTATGGCCCAATCGGCCAATTCCTTCCCCAATCCTCCTCCTCCGCTGAGCATCTTGCTGTGCTTGCTGCTGTTTCCACCTCTTCCCCTCATTCCATCACTCAAATAATCATTGACTAGCAAAGCATACTTGATGTGTACGATGAGGCTCACAACATGAAACAAAAATACTCTGGCATTGCCATGTTGACCCAAGGTCGGTCGGAAAATTGGCACCGTGAAGTTGAGACCTCATCAAGACCTCCAGAGCGTAGCAGAGATTCCCCAGTGGATGGATGCCACAAGAAATGGTTATGCTGACAAATATGCAAAGACGGAAGCTCAGATGGTGCAGAGACCTTCCACCATCGAAATCAAAGAAGCGGAGAGCCAGAGAAAATGTCTGGCCAAGATGCCTAGTTATGTTGCCAAAGGCTTCAGCGTGTGGGAGCCCGTGGGACCAAATATTAGCAAGAGCGTTTGCCTTTCAGGACAGAACTATAACCCAGCCCAGAGCGGCCGGAGTTAGTAGTGCCAGAGCGATGCGGTCCAACGAGGCCGCCCCCCTCCCGAACCCCAGGCCACTCGGCACCCGGAAGCACGGCACTCCTGGGAATGGAAGCCCATAACCAGCAAGTGGCTGTGCTCGGCCTGTAAAGTAAGACGCTCAGACAGAATTCACCCTTACCGCAAAGATGAGGCCTGTCTAGGCTATCACGCACAGCTCTCCAAGAGAGCGATTCACCCCAACGGCCACAAGCTTTACGTTGCGCGTCACTAGCAAAGTCTTAACTTTGTCGTTGTTTGCGCAGGCCACGGCAAGTACAGCGAATCCTATGTTAGCACCAGCCAGAAACCCTGGGAAGGTGTCAGATGAGCTCGGAGATAAGACGCAATGGAACCTCGTCTGCCAAGGCAAGAATCCCAAATCGTCCTCATCGGCCCAATCAATATATCAGAGCCCGCCTTTGAGGCTCAGCGATTTCATTGCCAGTGTAGCAGCCGGAATTTCAGCTCACTCCTTTCAGACGGACGAGGTGCCTGAGAGGAGCCAACCTGCTGCGCTCTTCAACCACATGCTGATCATCAATCCGCCCTCCTCCTCCTCCCTCCTCCTCCTCCTCCCTCCTCCTCCTCCTCCTCCTCCTCCTCCTCCTCCTCCTCCTCCCCCTTTTCCTCCTCCTCCTCCTCCTCCTCCTCCTCCTCCTCCCCCTCTTCCTCCGGCAGGCCCCGCGCACTCGCGCTGGCAGCACTAGGGCAACTGCAGCCGTCCTTGTCGCAGATGGTCTGTCAGGAGAGAGCAGCGAGAGATCGAGCGGAGAAAGGAGGGAGAGGGGCATGGAAGGGGGATGGGGGAGGGAGGGGGAGGGAGGGGGAGGGAGGGAGGGAGAGAGGGCGAGTGAAGGGGAGGGAGGGCGAGGGAGGGGGAGGAAAGGGGGAGGGGGGGGGCAGGCAAGGGGAAGGAGGGAAGAGGAGGCAGGGGGGAAGGAGGAACGAGGGAGGGGGAGAAAGACGGAGGGGGAAGGATGTCATCTCGCATGGAGGCACCCTTGGCGTAGATAACACGGTGGCGCCTGACGTGCTCGATCCACTCGATCAACGTGCCCTCGCGGGCAAGATCTCTTCTGACCACGGCGATCGCTGCGTCAATGCTCAACGCTATGCTCTCAAAGGTGGGCTGCGAGAGCGCGCATTCGACCTGCCGCTGACCATCTCCTGCGCGGCGCTGGTCGCCATAAACTAGAAAACGTAGAAAGTAGGCCATTGGATTCAAATCGGCACCAACTCCGAGGCGAAAGACCCGCACTCACCCGGATTGAACACGTAGAACGGGGCGTCTCGAGCGGGGGCCTGCACGGGAGTTTATCGGGGAAAATGTCACTGCACTCGTCTATTCTGTCGTCGGGTAAGACGGGGTCGGTCTCGAGAATTATCAGCATGGCTTCCCGATGGAATTCGGACCAAGCTAGATCATCCACGAGTTGGTGCCGAACGATTCCTGGCTCTCTGGTTGCTGGTAGCTCCGCGCGCCATCGGCCCTGACAAGCCGCTCGCTGCGCTTGGACCCTAGCCCCCTCCTCGCCCTGGAATTGCTTGGCCTCTGCCACTGAACACTGCGGCTCTGCAATGATGAGGCCGGTTGCGAAATTCGAAGGGTCGAAAGCCAAGTGGGTCGTGAATACCGATCGACGAGCAAAAACGGCAAAACGTGCGTTAGATCGAAAACTCGGCCCTTGATAATTCCGAATAGATGGGGCCTTGGAACGACGCGCCCGACTGTTGCGCGCCCGAAGCCCTCGAACCCGAGAAGGGGCAAGGTCGCGCCAGAAACATCAGAGTACCTGGGCACCCTCAGACTCCTGCACTCGAAGGATGCGACGCAAGTCATCCACGACGGGCGGTGCGCCTGCAGACTCAAGAACTTGATAAATTTGCCCCTCAGCTGCACGGGCCGAAGCAGCGCGCTGCAGATGCCTGACACGAGCTGCAAGTGCCCGCCAGATTTTCTGTTTCCAAGCAGCGGGTGATTCGCCTGCCCCCTGCCCCCAAACAGCCAGGCCATCATCGGGGCCGGGGGGATCTTGGAAACGACGAAACGCAGCCATCGAAGATCCCGATACCCACATGGCCCCAAGACCTCCCCGCGACCAACTTGGCCCAGTAAACGAGGGCCATGACGCGCGGAGGGCCCGCCCGAAGAAGGCGGCCGGATCGGCGAAACCTGTGCGCCGATAGTAGCGCGGATACAGGTGCGCGACCCACCTTGGCAAGCGCCGCTTTGTTAGGCACTGCATGCCCTTCTGAACGAGGTACGCGAAGTATATTGCGAGAGCATCGTAGCAGCCCGTCTTGTAAGGGATTGTAGGGAAGCCCCAGGTCCTGGATTGACACAGCCGCCAAGAGCAGACAGGGGAGCCGAGGGCGGCGACGGCAGCCGGTTGCTCGATCAAGTTGCGCTTGAAAGCCGCGCCCGCAAGAGCCCCCCCCCCCCCCCCCTCCCCCATTGCTGGCAACATCCCTGAAGGCGGCGCGCGAGTTCTGGCCCCATGGAGGCCGACGCGTCGTGCCTGGCACCAAGGCGAACGCACTCTTGAACTCGATGCAAAGATGCTTCCCCCAGGGCGCGCGCAGGCGCGCGCATGGCGTCGCACGTGTCCTGAACCAAAATGCGCCCAGCATTTCGGGGGGGGGGGGGGGGGGCGAACCTGGAACGGGTGGGCAGACCTGCCTGGCTCGACGTTGACTTGGGGACCTAGCGAGGTCAAAGCTCCCATGACCAATGCTGCAATAAAAAGAGCCCGCGCAAGTAGAACGCTAGCCCTGCCAGCGAAGAATAACAATGCATCGTCGAAGAAAGCCCCGCCCATGGCACAGAACAAGTGCGCTGGCACGCTGCCTTCTGCCTCTGATATGGCATAGGCTGCGAGCGAGGAAACGCGATGGGCAGGTGGTTCGAGGCCGACACCTGACTCCAATAGATTCCATTGAGCTTTGGCAATGATGCGTGGAATCGCAACGCTGAACTCCAGATCCCCCAGTTATTGTCCTGGCCCAGTCCCCGCGGACGGAAGCGCGACCCCCGCCCAATCTCTGATATAGAACCAAGACCGTTCATGGGCATCCGAGACTTGCCCGCGGCGATGAGCAGAAACCCCAAACTGCCCAATAATCGCCACGTGCCCCCGAATGAAATTGGCAAGCTCTCGAGTCGCCCCTGGCGGGGGCACGCAGAAAAAGAACAAAAACTTCAGGGAGCTGGTCGATGCTTGGTCGTCAGCAGAGGTGCGGGGGGAACAGCGGCAAGGAACAGGGGGGGGCACAGAAAAAATAGATCCGATCAATTAAAAAGCCTGGACCGCGCCCATGAAAAGCAACGTAACTGCATGGTTTTGCGCAGACGCCTGTTGCTGAACTGATCGAAGGTCCAGCGCAAAGAACTCCGCGCCCCTCCCCGACAGACCACCAAACATACGATCGCCAGCAGCATGCGTGTGTTGAGCATCTGCACTAGCACGTGCAAGAGCACGAATTCGTTTCCCAACTTGCGACGACCCCAAGATAGAGCGGTAGTTTTTGACGCTGGACGGGGCCCCGACGGGACCCCGGCTTTGAATGGGCTCCAGTAGACCCCACCTTTCCAATGAATGGGCTTGCAAAGTCTCACCGTGCTCTCGACGCACAGCGACCGATAAAACCCTCCTAACTGGATGGCGAGCTTCTTGGGCACAGCGCCCGCGATGGCGTCGGGCCCCGCCGCGGAGCACCTGGCAAGTCGAAGCGAATGCTGAGTGACTCCTTGGGGCGGTGCGTCCTCAATGGAAATGCTGACGTCGCGAGTAACCTCAGCATCTGCCAGAGGTATACACTCCAGGAGCCATGGTAGATCAGCACGAAGCATAACTGGCGCCGTTATCCGCTGCTAAACTGGCGGAGCCATCGATCGCTGATTTCGGCGCAATACCTGAGCGGCTGGTCGCCGAGCCTGAAAAGCACGGGGAGGCGTCGAGCCGATCGTTTGCGACGCGAGCAAGCCCCCATGGCACGAAGTCTGGCGAACGCGTCTTTGAAGCCCTGTCGACGCCAAGCCGAAGTGACTCCATGGGCGCGCGACACAGCGTGAGCCTTGGCATCAAGGGCCACTCTGCGCGCAACGAACCTGGCCATGGGTTCGAGAACAATAACCCGAACAGACAGACACAGACCCGAAAACCGCACTGCAATAATTCCAGCAAGCCCGATAACCAGCAATGCCAGCATTGCCGGGAAGGGTCCACTTCATTTCCTCCATGGAGAGACCTCGTCTTCTGCACGGCCGAAAACTGCCGCGAACTCTGACCCAAAGCCTGAAAGCAGCCAAGTCATCCTGGGAAGCCTTGGAGCCGATGACGTCGCGCTTGCTCTGGCCTAAAGAGAGATGCAGGATGCTGGCGCTTGCGGCCTCGGCGCGAACTGAAATCGCGTGGTTCGCGAGTTGGCAACTTCCACTGCATGGTGCAGTCGCATATCTACGAAACCCGTAATGTTTCGGCCCAAACATGGAAGGCGGGCGCCGCCAGCTGAGGGCCCAGGCAAGCGAAACCGACGCGGCGATAACCTCGATATCGCGGGGCGCGAGCGTCCTCGATATCGCGGGGCGCGAGCGTCGCGAGGGCGGTCGACGAAGCCGCCGCCCTCTAGCCGAAAACCAAACAAAAAACGCCTCCTCGAGGCAGTCGTTCGGGCGGTCATTGAGCACCCGGCAGTGAAAAGAAGGCGAGATGGCCCACGGCGCGGTAGGACAGTCCTGAAACGTTGGACCGCGGAAGGGCCCTCGAAGCTGGCGGGGTCGCAATCAATCTTGCGCTCGCAAGATGCAACTAGCGCTGGCCGTGAGACTGGCACTGAAATCCTCGCAGCAACCATGAGATGAGCCATGATAGAGATAGTCAAATCCACGCGGCGGCCACCCAGAAGCCCATCCACCAGGACTTGATTTCAGCTCCTGATGTCTTGCCGCGCGGGGCGCGGGCCACGAGAAAGACCGCGGCGAATCTCTCGACGCGGATGGCGACGGGCAAGTGGCGAGACGCAGCGGCGAAAACGCAGCAATGCCCAGGTGGGATGCGAACGCCGGGCAGGAATTCCATGGAAACATGGACCCATCATGAGCAATCGAGCAGATTGGGCCCATCTGCCCGTGCATCCGCGATAAGGCATGGCGCGACATTTGACTCCAGATATTGGGGGCCTCTTTTCAGCGGCACATACCAGGACCAATCCGCGCGGTTCGAACGCATCAATGAATTGCTTCACGCGGTCCGAGAAGCACGGCCCTGCCGGTCGCAGGCGCTGGTTAGGCCTAGCCGAAGACGGACTGAGGGACAGAACGCAGGCAGCTGCAACCCAGGGGGCCCAGGGGTAACGAATATGGCACCCTCCTCCTCCGACCCCTTTGACCTGCCGCCCCCCTCCCCCTGCGAAGTGGAGCAGGTGCTGCATGGAATTGGCCCTCTCCAAAGGCGTCTCCGTAAATAATAATATTTTATATATATATATATATATATATAACCCCCCCCCAAAAAAAAAAAAAAAAAAAAAGCTGGCACGGGCGCATCGTGGCATGGCGGATACTGGGCCTGCACATGCGGCGTCCCAAAGTGAAGCCGCATCCACTGCAGCGCCTGAAAGTCGCGTAAACGTTCACGCCAGCTGACGTCTGGCCTAGGATAATCTCCTTTGCTTACGGATACCTAGGTGCGGAGTGGCCAGGCGCGCGGAGCCCGCGCAAAGTTGCCGAACGAAATGCG